TTTTATGGCTTATTTATTTATGCAAAAGGATATTTAAGATATAATTAATATTTTATTATCGGTCATATTATTTTTAGAAGCTGGTCGTATAAATTTATGCTTTCACCAATTAAAGAATAACGTACGTCGTTTCAAAATTTAAAAATGATTTAGGTCAATTTGTAATTGACTTAAATTGTGAAATGACGCAGAACATAAATCACTAAGTTATTCATCAAAAAACGTCAATTTAATAATGCTCAAATCTCTGTTATCCACAAAAGCGTCGATTTGACAATGCTCAATAAATCTCTAAGTTATCCACCAAAGCATCAATATCGAATTCCATATTATCGTGATCTTCTTCGAATTGTTTTCAACAAATTTAGATAATAAAAATTTATAAATCGAATTATTTCAGTATTTAAATAAATCATACATTTTTTTGTTTTTATTATCAATTAAAATCATTACATTAATCGATGATATATCAATTATACTTTACACTTTCATTACTTTCGGCACTTCTTTACAGAAACTTAAATTTCTTAAGGCGTAGTAACTGCATAGTAATTATATAGTAATTACATAATTACAATTAAATTTAATCGTACGTAACTACATAATTATTATGCAGTTACTGCGCCTTAAGAAATTTAAGTTTCTGCATAGTTATGACTTTAAGCATTGATCAAAAGTTGCGGCATGAATTTTAGATTAGGCATTGCCGCATGTCAAAATTCAGGTGTAACATGCACTCACTTATGTGTCATCTATGCTGTATTACTCGTACAAATATAATACGTGCGACTATAGTATACTAACCTTCATGGGTTAGGACTTAGCGTTAGCTCCTTGGTATCATTAAATAAATTTTTTTTAGGTTCATAATATCACGTGTTACTGTGGGCGATGGGGTCATGGGCTTGCCTTTAACAATATATTGCTGCCATATGAAAATAAATATTATCTTGAATTAATACTAAAATTTTTCTGTATACAATCTGTATGAAATTCTGTATGCAAAATACGGAATTGAAGGCGAATTCTGCATCACTTGATACAGAATTTTATATGGAAACCTTTTATTAATGATTTAAATTGGAATTTATATTATATATGTATAGTATAGAATCACAAATATGTCAAGTATACTGTGTTATACATAATGTATAGTGGTATATACAGAATGTATAACTAATAAATATACTCTATACGGGTTGTATATTTATTGTTATTATATAATTACTTGATGTACAATATATTTATTAAAAATTGAAAACTTATTTATCATTATATATATACATAATAAATTTTATGCAAAAATCGAAAACTTATTTATCATTACTAATAAAATTTATGCAAAATTATATAATGCATGATACATAATTATTATTATTATTAGCATAATTATGCAAGCGAATATTTTGGTATCTGTTTTTATCGTTATCATAATACAATAAAACAAAAACTTTTCCAATTTTGATATGGCCTCTTTTATTAATATTAATTCGGATACTGATGATACCTTTGAAGAAATTGATTTTAATGAAATAAATGAACAAGTAAATTTTTAAACAAGTTTTTGTTTAAATTAAAAAGTTAGATATATATATATTAAATATTGATAAATTATTTAGAGTGACGATGATAATATTAAAGAAATCACTTATTTTACCAAAAATTTAACTGCACAGCATATTCAATTTTCAGCTGTTTCTGTTGAATATCCGTCTACTGATCCTGAAGGTTATGCAATTATATATAACTTTATTGATAATGAAATTATTCTGAAGAGCAAAGTAGTGATATTCAAATTCAAAAATTAATGAGAGACAAAGCTCGAGTTGTATTTCGTGATGTATATAAATTGTATTTTTTAATATAAATATAATAAATTTTATTATAATTAATGATTTTATTATAATTTCTATTTAATTATTATTAGATCCAATACTCACAAAGTGGTAAAGGCGAAAGTTCTAATGTTAATTGTCCATTTTTTGATGAATTTAACAATGAAAAAATACAAGTTATTAAAGATCAACGAAAATGTGGAGGAGTTAAAGTTTGCCCTTTTGCATATAATCATATAATTAATTACAAGCATATATAGTGTTGATTTCGATTCAAATATTTTTCAAACCATTAAAAATGCTGATGAATCTCGAAGTATTTAAGCTAATACTTTGTCGTAATATTTAATATTTATTTAAATTTTACTATTAATTATATTTTAAAGCTTAAATAAAAATTAACTATTTTATATTAGGTTTTATCTAGCAGCTAAAAAAATATCTTGTCCATATACTCAAGCTAATGATATTCGATGCACTGGTGATTTAGTTATTAAAAAAAGACAAACACAAGCTCTTAATTCAAATGAATTACAATCAAATATTAATCTAAATAATGGATACTTTCTTGGTTGTACATCTTGGAAGTATGGTACTACTGGACATCGATATATACCACTTACTGAAACTATTGATCGCTATTTATTAAAAAATTTAATTAATGGAATGGTAATTTAAATAATATATAATTAATATTAATTTTAAGCATCATATTTTTATTACAATTATTAATTTAATTTTTTTTATAATCTTAGCAATTAAATCAATCTGAAATAAATAATAATTGCAATACTGTTTTATCAAATAGTTCTAAACGATTAATATGCTGTAAGTAATAAATTAAATAATTTTTTAATAATTATATTAAAATAATAAAAATTAATATTATTATCAATTTTTATAAATATATTATTTAGCATTTCCACATATAGATGATAATGGAAATCCAGTAGAAGCTAATTTAATTCATTTATCATGTGATGTTATATTTTATCGGCTTACTCCAGTAAATTTAATTAAATGTCCATATGTTGCTTTTGTGAGTGTTGGTAAACATACCCATCCGCCTCCACCACCTAGTCATATTCCAGAAGCTATTAAAAATCGTATTAATAAAATGATTAATAATGCTTCTGAATATTACTCCATGAAAAATTATTTCAAATAATAAAATTTATTTTTTTGTTTTTTATAAACTTTATAAACTAATAAATTTTATATAATTTAGATAATCTTGTACATGCATATTTTGGAGTTAATATATTATCTGAAATACATGCATCACTTAACAATTTAGATCAGCTTCGATATTTAGTTGGTCGTATACAACAAGCTAAAAATCCATATGGACAAGGCATTCTTGAAATAGTACATAATTTCTGGAAAAATAAAAATGAAATTTGTAATTATATTCAACGATTAAGTATGATATTATATTAAATTAATTATTATTTTATATTAAAATTATATTAATAATATTTAAAGGCTTTTTTGATGATGGTCATATAATGATTCTTTGTATGACCGAAGAACAAGCTATTAAACTTTATGAAGCA